GGATCCCAATTGGGCCAGAATCATGTGGTGCCCGGGAGGACGCGTCCAAGATTTTCCTCATGTGGAATCTAACATGGTCCCTGGCGCCCAACTCCTAGCGAAAGTGGGGCGCGGTGGGAGACATGATCCTAAGAGGAGTCTACGTGTGAGATGCAGCGCCAACACTTGCTACGATGGGAAGGTGATCGAACACACTTTGAACAGAATGTCCCAAGTGGACAGTTCGGGGAATAAACCGGGGATGGGGGAGGGAAGTGGTGGAGGAACAGGAGGGGGAGGGATGTGCACGAGGAGGACGAACCGGCTTTTCCTAAGAGGGGGTCATACCATGCTCACGCTCACGAGGTGGTCGGCGGTTCTGTGGGACGCTCGGCTGCGCCATAAGATCACGTACGTACCAATCCCCACAGAACATAATATTGTAGTATCCACGGGTCAGGTCAACCGTTGAACGAACGGCTGCCAAGAACTACGGGAAAGCGGGTGGTCGCACATAGAAAATTGCATCCAAACCATTGCAATCGCAGGTGGTCAAAAGTCTATGACCGAGAGGCTGTCCAATTCAGACTTCTCAACCGCACCGTTGTCATCGGTAGGCAAACTTCTCCTCCCACGTATTTAACCTCCTGCGACCCCCTCTGGGCTCTTTTGCCTGAGCTGCTCTCGCACTCCCTCCGATATGTTCATCGTTTTGCCCCTACTCTTTGCTTCCTCTTCACGTCCTCCTTCTTCTGCTTTATCTTCTCTTCCTCCTCCTCTTCCTCTGCCTCCTTTTTTTTATACTCTGCTGCAGCTGCGCGTCCATGGCGGTCGCCGTGGCGCCTGGTCCGAGGGCGGGCCAGACTGCGGCGCGGGGCCATGGAGAACGCGTGCCCCAATCCGCGCGGCCAGGTCTTCCCGTCAAAAATGTGTGAAAACGGTGTTCCATCCTGAAATTTGGATTCTGTCCCAGGGATCTTTGTCAACGGAGACGTCCGGGACAGGTGAGAAGAGATTCGCACGGCGATCACTCATGGGGGTCCGCCCGGTGCCACAGGTGCCCTTTCGCGATGTGGCGCGCTTGCCTGCCCGGGAGGAGAAGCTCCCGCTCACGCAGCGCCTTCCCTACCTGCGGCTTCCAGATCGCAAGCCACGGGGCAGGATGGTGGCTGAATGCAAGGATCTCCTCCCAGCTGGCGCCAGAGATTCAGGTGCGTTGCGCGTGTCCGCCGCCCTGGATTTAGATGTTCTCTTGGCCCCAGGGAATCCCTTGTCTCTGTGCTGCCTGGGTGGTTGTCTTCACGACAATGCCGCTACTATTTTTTCGAGCTTCCTTTGTCCGGCACGCGCCAAGAGCTGCGCCACGGTGGACTCCTGTTTCTGATTTCATTACTCTCATGCGCATTGCAGGCCGCTCGAGCCACAGCCCGAGCCATGGTTCAGTTGTTTGGTTTTATTTCGGATGGGGTCCCGGTCCGTGGGTTTGTGATGTTCCATTGTGCGCAACGTCCTTAAGTTACTTTCCATTACGCCCGTGGCTCTCCGGGGTTGGCGGAGTATCTTTCAAGGACGATCCGAGGCGCCACCTGGAGAGCTTTGGTGAAGAGGTCTCGTCTGGAGGCGTCCGAGCTTTGCAGGCTGGGGCATGATGGCCTCGCGGCGCGCTGGGAGCAGCTTATTGATGACGCAGTGAAGGGTTACCGTGAAGATATGGAGCATCGGCAAGACCTCTGGTGGGCGCGACAGCATGAGGATGCTGTGATGGCTTCTAATTTGGGGTCCTGGTTGGAGGGCGGCGCATGCCCAGGTGCTCCGGTCATTTCGCTTTCATGTTGTCTCTCGGCCCAGGTTGGAATAGCATCTTTCTGCATTCGCGAGCGGGTTTCTTGGGGAATTCGTCGCGGATGTTTTCAGTTCCTTCAGTTTTGCATTCGTCTTCATGTCCCCAAATGCCCTTCCCGAGTTAGCCGCTCATCCCCGTGGTCGCGGTAAGCTATCAGCTGTGCGCATTTCCGTGACCAGCGCATGCGCCAGCGTGGGCCACCAAGTGCATGTGCGACTTTGCTTGCGCGTTGCGTGTCCCAGCAGGTGCCGCCATTGCGGTTTCGGAACTTGGAGTTCATGGCGCTCGGCCGAATGGCACGTCCACTTCGGGTTCCAGCGCGTGCCTGCATTCAGGCTGCGGGTTTGCCTGTCATGGCGTTCCGTTGTCGATGGCGCCATTGACCGCCAATATGCTGTTTCGCTGCTTCCTTCTTACCACCTGACCTTGCACTTCCCTTGTTTTATGCTCATCTCTCCCTCTCTCCCTTTCCGTCGTTGTGTTGGTTTCGCTCAGTTCTTCTGCTTCCCGATTGCAAGTCGTTGTGCTGCTTCCAACCCCCTCCCTTCTGGTCGCCCAGGCGCGATGCCGCCGGTGACTTTTGGGTCAGTCCATCCCGTTGGGCGCGCAGGGGATCACATGCATGGCGCAGCGCAGGCTGCGACACGGCAGTTTGGAGAAGCGGCTCAACCGGACCTCCATCAGCAGGCTCTTGCCACGTCTTCATCTGGCGAGGACACCTCCGTTGCTTTCCTGGCCGAGTTGCTCCGGACCGCGCGCGAGGCTGGCTCCCTGTGGGGCTCGGTGGCATCCGCGGCGTCAGCTATCCACCTTGCGGCACCAGACGTCGTGCACTTGAGGGAGGCTCTCACGGCGAACGGCCAGCTCACTTGGGTGGCGGATTATGGAGTGCCTGTTCAGGTCCCTGCTTTCATCCAGCGGGGACAACGAGCCAAGGGAGACGGAGGATTATTTTAGGAACATCTGCTTTGAACAATTTCGTTTTCAGGGCCCTTGGGAATGTTCGGAGCATCCAGGGGAGCATTTTGAGTATCCTTGCCGGGGCATTTTCTATGTCGCGTTCGCTTTGTTCTCTCCCCTCGGAAACACGGTGGGATCGCAGGGGCATCCTTTCGTTTGCCTCGATGTTGTTTGGCTTCCAGGCTTAGGGATTGTGCCTCGTTGGCCTCATGGGGCCTGCTAGAGGCAGCTCCCATTTTGGATTTGCAGGAAATTCGCGCCCCACTGATGGGCCTCTTTCTGATTGGGCCACTCCGAGGTGCCCCAGTCGCTGTTTCCCCGACCTTTGTCATTGGAGCCGTCCGGGCACGACCTCGTCAAGATGCTCCGTTTCCTTGGTTCCGTGGACCGTCCCAGGGTGCCCCTCGACGCCGTGCAGACTTTCTTGGGCCACTGCTGGCATTGGACGGCGCAGGATGCCATGCTCACTCTTTCTGCAGTTTGTGTTTGGCTCCCCCTCGGTTTCGGCATCTTTCTCATGCATTCCCCTGTCATTCACTTGTCATCTCACCCTCGTCTCTTCCCTCTAAGGCTCCTGGCGTGTAGTTCCAGGCTTTGCCGACTCCCCCCCATCGTCGACGTTTCCTTCGTCTGATCTCTTAGCCCTGCTTCTCCTCCTTGGCCTCATGTTCGGTGTGCTGTCTGGTTCGTCTTCCTCTCGATGCCTCATTTCCTTTGTCGCCTGCGCACTCTTGCAGGACTTCCACGATATCTTCGGGGAGATGCTGCGTGCGGGGTCAGTGCACCTCGTGGCCGGGTTTGTCCAGCCAGGCCCAGTCCGCGGCGTCTGGCTTGATGACCCTCTTGCGCATTGCATGGGGGACGCGCTTGCAGAGAAGCGCTTCGGCAATTTATGATTTCTTTTTGTTTTGCATGTGCACCCCAGGCGGCGCGCCTTTTAGCACTGCCTTGCACGCCGAGCGCTTGCGCAAGCCTTGGCCGCTGATCACAGTGGTCAGGGAGCCAGTGGTGGGAGGTGGCGGGCATGATCATTAGGGCTGGGCACCTCCCTAGAGCACGCTAGGCAACGATGCGGCAAGGGCGGCCGCTGACCGCAGCTCGTCCATAATTTGGTCGGAACCGTTTCATTGGGACCCAACTCTTTGCTTTTCGCGTGGACTTTTGGCGGCGCGCTGTCCAATCGTCAAGTCTGCATTCGCTCCTGCCTTCCGCTACTACTCACCCGATGTAGTTCTGTGGTTTTATCATTGCCCGTTCAGCTCGTTATGCTATACCGCGAGAGCCTCGTTATGCACCTCCCTCTCTTTCTCTCTCTCTCTCTCTCTTGCTCTATCCCTCTCGTTGTGCGTCTCTCAGTCTGACTAGCTCACTCCCTCGCTCGTCCCCCTGCTGCCCACGTGGCAACACATACTCATAGGAGTCTGGTTGGTAACAGTTTTGCGTGGAACGCACGCGCATGCATACCGACAACATACACACGCAGGGCACCTTGATGCAGACATCCACGCACACGCGCAAATACAAATGGCCACGCGTGCACACCAATTCTGGGTCAGAGTGAGGGGGCTGGCGCGGGGTGGGTCGCGGCGCGTGGGTCGCGGTCGGGGCGGGGGTGGGTCGCAGGCGGGTCGCGGGGCGGGTCGATGGCGGGTCGCAGGTGGGTCGAGGGTGGGTCTCGCGGTGGGTCGCGGGGTGGGTCGGGGGGGAAACGCGACAACATAAACAACAAGAACAATCCGGACCGCAGAATCCCACTTCAGGCACGCACCCAGGGGCAGTGAATGACCGTTCGCCCCCCTCACTCTGATGATGTACGTGGTGCTAGTGCATCTTCATCCGCATGGCGCATGCTTGTATTCGCCATTTCCCTCGTTAGCGGTTCTGTCTGGCTGCCCTTTCTTCTCCGGCCTCAGCGCAGGGCTGCCGGTAGCGTGGTTCCCCGGAGATCGTGCCCACATCCGCGTCGGCATGGCGGGCGTCCCATTGGCTCGCGCGCCGCTCCAGGGTGGGACATGGCCCGCGGGTGCTTTCGGGCAGGGGGTTCAGCGCGTGGAGCTGGACCTCGACGACGATTCGGCGCCTGCTCCGTTGCTTGCGCCGGAGGCGCCGCAAGGGGCTGCTCCGCCCGTAGCGGCGGCAGCAGTCGCGGCGCCACCGTTCATGCCTCCGGCAGGGCAGGGGGGAGATCTCGCCGCGTGTCCAGCAGCGCCCGCTCCAGTGGCGAGGGCACGTGGTGCCCGGCTTCGTGGTGGCGGGGGCGCCGTCGGCCCGGGCGCGGCCAGACAGCGTCAGGTGGCAGGGGCTGCCCCCGCGCAGGCACCGCCCGCGGTTTTGCCAGGGGCTTCGCGTCCGGCGGGGGCGCCGTCGGCCCGGGCGCGGCCAGACAGCGTCAGGTGGCAGGGGCTGCCCCCGCGCAGGCACCGCCCGCGGTTTTGCCAGGGGCTTCGCCCGCGCCGGAGATCGTGAAGTCCCAGCGTGGCAACAATATGCTGCTCTGTGGAGGTCGTGGCGTCGATTCCCTTCCGTCCTCCTCCCCCTCCTCCTCGTATTCATCAGTATGTTTCTTATCATCGTCCTCCAGCTCCTGCTCCTTCTTCTCTCTCTGCGTTGCTAATCCCTCTCATTGCTCTCCTCCGCACCTGCTTTCTGTATGCGTTCCTCTCCGATGCGACCTTTTTGCGATGCATCTCCTCCTGTGCTTGCGCCCTGCTTGCCCTTGCCAGTCGTCGACCTCGTCTCCTTTGCTAGTCGTCGTTTTATCGCATCATTTCCACAAAAGGTTATGCATATTACTTCAAGAAGACTCTGAAGGGTGGTAAGTCGTCGTGGTTGTGCGACCGCCACGAGAAGGACAGCGTAGGTCACGCAGCTGCGTCATCTTCCATTCGTACTCGTTGTCACGCTGCCGCGCGGATCCGGCGCCCCGTGAGGCAGGCCCCCGGGCAAGGCGGTTTCGTTGGTGCGGGGCGGGTCGGGGGCTCTGGTGTGCAGATGGGGGGCGCCGCGCTATCGCAAGCGGCACTGTAGATGAAGTCATTGTGTTTCATAGTGTAGGCACGCTGGTCACGGTGGACCGCGTGCTTTTAAATGATTTCTCGTTCTTTCAAATGCCCCGGGGTACCTTGGGCATTTTTTCGCAAGGGGCGATGCCGCAGAACAAGTGGACACGGCCTCACGCGCCCAGAGCTCTGCGGATGTAGTGGCGGATTTGGGTGCATTCCCACGCATTTTCTTTATGCCCCGTTGTTTGTGTGTGCACGGACCGTTTCACGGTTTCGACGGGGGGCCACAAGCTAAGGGCCCAAGGGGGGTGCCACGGAGAGGCCCAAGGGGCGTTCCCCGGCTAGGGGGGGCAAGGGGAGGGCATCAAGTGTGTTGGACAATCGCGGAGGACAATTGTAAAGCCAGGGTGAAGACCTCCTCCGTCGACGGCGTCCTCGGCGTGGATGGCGCTCCCACGCCGGAGCACAACCACCTGCCGAATCCGGACCGGGTGGATGGATTTTCCAAGTGACTGGTGTTTTGACTGTACTTGCCCAGGTGGGGATTGGCCCGTGGCATTCGGTTAAGTATTTAGGACCGGAGGTTTCCACGGACACTCTACCTGTGCAAAGTGCGTCGCCAGGAGTCGTTTTTTGCCAGGGCACCTGGAGGATATCATCTCGTTAGATGTGGTCGTTCATATTTCAATTCCGTTGCTTTACTCCGTGAAGGGGGGGTCTGTGGACCAAAATGTTTCCGCTCAGAGCTTTCAGGTGGGAGGTTTGGACTGAAGGGTTGCCATTGGGATCCTGTCAGCGAGAGGTTTGGAACAGGGCATGGCAATTAGACACTCCAGGCAGAGGGGGTTAGACCAAAGGGTTACCAGGTATAGTCTGCAGGCGGGAGGTCTGGACCAAAGGGTTACCAACTAGACGTCTGAAGTGGGAGGTCTGGACCAAAACGTTACCGGCCAGAGCCTCGAGGCGGGAGGTCTGGACCAAAGAGTTACCATTCGGAGCCTTCGGGCGGAAGGTGTGGACCAAAGAGTTAAGAAAGAGTTGCCACTCGGAGTCTTCAGAAGGAAGTGCTGGACCAAAGGGTTACCAATTAGAGCTTGCAGGCGAGGGGTCTGCACCAGAGGGTTACGAGTTGCAGTTTTGAAGTGGGAGGTCTGGACCAAATTGTGACTGGTCTGAGCTTTCAGGCGGGAGGTCTGGACCAAAGAGCCATTCGAACACTTCGGGGGGGGAGCCCTAGACCAAAGAGTGACCAGTCGGAGCCTTCAGGTGGGAGGCGTGCACCAAATGGTTACCAGTTCAAGCTTGCTGGCGGGAGGTCTGGACCAAAGGGTTACCAGTTAGAGCCCTTTAGTGGGAGGTCTGGACCAAAGGGTTCTTGTTCACAGCTTCGAGGCGGGAGGTCTGGACCAAAGGGTTACCCGTTGCGCCATCCGTGCGATGCAATCAATGTGGTGTATATTGTATATTGATCGGTGCAATCTATGTGCTACATGTCAAGCGGCCCAGGCGACGGGCGGAGACGAGGCGGCTGGGAAGCGGCGACAGGTCGGTGACGGCGGGAACATTGCAGCCAGATCGCCACAGAGGCTCAGTTTCTCAGGGAATAAATAGGAATGCCTAAGTGACGGCACTGGTCGGAGAAATGATGAGTGTCTCTGGGCTGGGGGTTCGGAGGTGATACGACCTCAGGGTGGGGGTCCGTGCGTGTACGTATTGTTGGCCATGCGTTCTAAAATTGTGCAGTACATATATATATATATATATATATATATATATATATATATATTACACATGTGCATGTGTCGCGCAAGCATTGTCAGAGTCGCCCAGGTGGCTCGCATCAAGCTTTTCCAACAAGTGAAAGCAGAAGCCGTGGAGCAGAAATTCACGCCCGCCACGCGGGTCGTGGCCGATTGTCTGGGGGCGCCGGACGCGAACGTGGCGACCCTGGCTCTCAAGAGGGCGCGGCGGTGCCGAATGACATGTTTTCGTGATGAAAATAATGATATGTTGTGGCGTTTATTTGTGTGTGTGTTTTTTTTTGGGGGGGGGGGCTGGTGTTTGAAGGGCAGTGTGGGCGTTTTTTGGTGGGGGCACGGCGCGGCGGGGGGGCTGCAGCGGTGGGATCTTCAGGCCGCCTGGAACGAGACGGTGCGGCGTTGAACGGGGGCGGGATGCGGCGGGGAAGGGGCTGGCGGCTCTCCCGAAGGCCGCCTGGAACGCGAGGCACTCTGACCGGGAGAAACGCTTCAAGGCTGGAGAAGACGTGGAGAAGCCCGATTACTCCTCCCTCTCCAAGCTGGTCTTGCCGGACAGGGTTTTGCAGTTCGACAAGGACCGGTTGCTCCCTGAGCGTTCAGGAATTCTTTGCATGCGTGTCGACTGCGGGGGGGATGTTTTTTTTTTGGGGGGGGGCATGGGCCCAGGGCGCCGGTAATCATGTTGCCCCTAGGTTTTTTCCCTTGGGATGGCTGCTCCATGGGCGGCTGGGGCATTGGGCACCGCGAGCCCCCCCCATTGTCCTTCGTGGCACTATCATGATGATGCACTGCGCGCACCTGTGTTTTAGCTTACGGTTGATTTTGCAGTCGCCGGCTGTATGGGGCCCAACTGCTGAGGGATGTGCTCCATGTCCATCTCATTGTCCATCGTTGTGAATTCGCATGCGGTGGTTATTGTTGTTTTAGGGCTGCGTTTGTTTTGCAGTGCGCCCGTTCACGTGTGGGGGGGGGGGTCGGCGTCAGGGCCCATTTGCTTTTTGGTGCGCGAGCGCCTGCGCGGGCAATGTTCTTGTGACACCACCTATTCTCAGGAGACGATTCTGCTCCATGATTCTGGCCCCGAGAGCGGCGAGGATCGCTTCATTATTTTGGGGCTGAAGTCGCACGTCGCGATGCTGGGCGAGTGCCCCACGTGGTTCGGCGACGGAACTTTTAAAGTGGCGCCGCATCCCTTTACGCAGGTGCGGGCCTTACTTCTGCGTGCCCGTCGCCGTCGAGAGTTCTTGGCGTCGTATTTGGATCGTTCTTGGCATTCTGCCGTTTGCCTTAGCGATAAAGGGTGCTTCCTGCGATGTCTTCAGAATGTTGTTCAGTGCACCCGATGATGGCACAGGCTTTTACTTTTGCTGCGGGGCGGCGAGAGCCGCCTGCCTCTGCTATCCTTTCTCGCTTGTCAGGTGTGGACCCTGCGCGGGTTTAAGCACGGGCACGCCTTCGCTCTCGTCTACGGCCTCTTGCCGAACAAAAGGACGGAGACCTACGAGCGGTTCTTCAGGGTGCTTCGCGAGGAGTTTGGTTTGCGTGGGCCACCTGGTCTTCTCGTGTTGGACTTTGAGTGGGCGGCGTGGAACGCTGCAGCCAAGGTTTGGAGCACGTCGAAGGTGGGCTTGGGGGGTTTCAGGCGCATCGCACAGGTGTCGTTTCCACGCTTGCTGCAGATTCACGTTCGGCCGATGAGTTATAATGGGAGATCCCACATGATGCGGCCCATTCGAGCTTAGTGAATCCACGCCTGTGTTGGATCACTTAGTTGTCGAGGTTTCCGTCTGGAGTTTCGCATCTGGGGCGCGGGCGTCTTGGAGGATC